CTCGGCCCCGAATTGGGGGCTGAGGGTTTAGGGTTTGGCGCAGCAGCAGAAAGGCGCGGGCGGACTCGACTTCTTGTTGACACTTTCTAGGGTTTAGGGTTTAGGGTTTGGCGTTGTTAGGGTTTAGGGTTTAGGGTTTAGGGTTTGCGTCGGCAGAGCCTGATATGCGAGTTTGACTCTAACAGCAAAGCTGTTTCCTCGTTGTGGAAAAACATCGAGAACTTGCTTGACATGTAAGCGCACTAGGGTTTAGGGTTTAGGGTTTAGGGTTTAGAGTTTAGGGTTTAGGGTTTAGGGTTAGGGGGTTAAGGTTTGGGGGTAAAGTTTACGGCCTGGGGCGAGGGCTAGGGTTTAGGGTTTAGAGTCTGACGCTGAAAACCCTCAAGATGGAGCTCGATAATTAGGGTTTAGGGTTTGGGGTTTAGGGTTTTAGGGTTTAGGGTTTAGCGTTTAGGGTTTGCTTTTTGCTTCAGGTGCCGCGCTGAAAGCGCAAGTGGAAATTTCCGAATTGAAGAAAACCTTGACGAACTTGAAAACGCAAGTCCAGGGTTTAGGGTTTAGGGTTTAGGGTTTAGGGCTTGCGTAAAATACTCATTTTTTCTCGTTTTTTCTCCTGAAAAGCGCCATCTGTATGAATTTTAATATACTATTTATTTTCGTTTATTCATTTGTTTTATTGTTTTATTTATTTTTATTTATTTTATTTTTTTATTTACTTTTAATTTATTTTCCTTCAGGTCTTTTTGCTGCTAAAAAAAGCCAGGGGCAGCAGCCCCGCGGTCTTGTGCCACGGCGACCCTTTAGCTGGCAACATTTTGAGAATGGCAGATGGTGAATTAAATTAATTAAATTAATTAAATTAAATTAATTAAATAAATAATTAATTAAATTAATTATTTATTCTTATTATTTTGTTGCTGCTGTTGTGGTTGTTGAGGGCTTCTCGGGGGTGTGGGCTGCGTCAGGCCACTGCTGCTGCTGCTGCTGCTGCAGCGCCTGCTGGAGTTTAGGGTTTAGGATTTAGGGTTTGGGGTTTAGGGTTTGGGGTTTGCGCCTAGGGTCCATTTGCTTCATTGACTACGAATATTCGGGAGTCATGGAGAGGGCCTTTGACATCGCCGGTCACTTCATTGAATATGCAGGTATTTAGGGTTTAGGGTTTAGGGTTTAGGGTTTAGGGTTTGGGGTTTAGTGTGCAGTACTCAGCGCTCCAACACTTAGCTATCTCGTTCAGGAATCATGCTGAAAGCCTCCTAGGGCTTAGGGCTGAGGGTTTAGGGTTTAGGGTGCAGGGTTTACGGTTTGCTTTTAGGGCTTAGGGTTTAGGGTTTAGGGTTTAGGGTTTAGGGTTTAGGGTTTGGTTGTGCGCGCATTAGGGTTTGAGTGCGATTGGGGCCGCATCCCCTCGCCTGCTGCCCAGAGGGCTTTCATTCGGGTGTATTTGCAGCAGCTGCAGCAGCAGCAGGCAGCAGCAGCAGCAGCAGCAAACCCGGAGCCAGCTGCTGTAGC